GCCGACGACTACGCCCACAGAGGCCCTCGCCTGCAGACCATGCCGTACTACGTCTACAGGATGTACGTCCGGCGAGTCCTGAAGCCGAGCCGGGTCAAAGCTTCTGGACCGCGATTCTTCGCCTTCGACAGCCACTACGTCTTGGCTCCGCGGTGCATGCAGGAGGTCCAGTTGACGCGGAGTCACGTCCCCACCATCGATGGCTTCCAGTGCCCGACCTGGGCACAGGACCCCGAGCAGAACTCGCTCTTCAAGGCCCTCCTCTTCACGCCTTGGGCGTGCGAGTGTCCCCTCTCTTGTGGCTGCGTTACTCAGTACAGCCATATGCTGAGGAACTGCGACTGCCCCGCCGTGCGCCCATACTCGTTCGAGCGGGCCTGGCGGCTTCGGCGCGCGGAGATCCACGCGTTGGCAGCGCGCGCAGACTCCAGGAGCCGCCTTGCCCGCAAGAGGCTCGTGCTCGCGGACACGACCCTCTTCTCCGAGGTGAAAGAGCCCCGGGCGAACCTCGACGAGGGCGAGCTGGTGCTCCTCAGCCTAGCGCACTTCGCAAGGTCCCAGCTGGCGCGGCGCATGCCAGCGGAGGCGGCACGGCGCATCCTCGCCTTCAGTGACCACCACTGCCGGTGGCACGAGGAACAGTGCACCCTGGCGGAGTTCTGCGCGCACGTGGCGCGAGACGTGCTGGCGCACGTGGACCTCGCGGCGGAGGCGCGGGTTAAGCCTCGGCCAGCAACGACTGCACACCTCGAGGCGGATGAAGACTCTGCGAGCGATGCCGAAGGGCTCAAGGGGCGAGTCCCGCTGGAGCTCGTTGACGTGGGTGGAGGCGGCGGCAGCGACGTAGAGGAGGACGTGGAGGACGCCGAGATTACCGAGATCTCCCGGTTTCCGCTGCGGGACCACGTCAGAGCAACCGAGCTGGCCCTACAGCAAGACCAACTGCAGCGCTTGGACCAGAAGGGCCGCCTCAGCTACGCCGATAAGCAGTTGAAGAACCTCGACCGAGCGTACAGCGGCATGCTGCAGCCCAGCTTTGCACTGCCAGCCAGCAGCGGCGCGCGGGAACATCAGGGCACGCGGCTGGACGAGACCTTTTCTGACATGCTCGCCCTACAGCGGCAAAGCATTGCGCTCCAAAAGAAGCAAGCGAGCCCGGATGGAGAGATCTTGCCCGATGCTGCGGACGACTGGCTCCCCAGCGGTGCTCCTCAGCCTGCTGCCGAGGACGCCCAACCAGAACTCGTTCCGCAGCTCTTGGCCATGCAGGGCCCGGCGGCTGTTGCGTGGAAGCTCGTCACTGATGCCCACTGCACGGAGGAGCAGATTGACGCGGTGGCGTTGTTTGCGTTGTCTCTGCAGAAACGATTTGACGGCAGACCAGACAAGACAACGCATCTCCTCCCCGTGGCGTCCGCGACAGGCAACCACAGAGCGATCTGGCTCGGTGGAGGCGGTGTCGGCAAGACGCGCACCCTCTCCAAAGTGGTGGAGCCGATGGCCATCACATACTTCGGCGAGCAGGGGTACCTCGGCAAAGCGCAGTCCAACCACGCCGCACACAACCTCGGCCCGCGCGGCAGGACCATGCATTCCTCCAATGGCCTGCTCATGTCGGATTCCATGCAGACAGCCAGGCTGCGCCTGACCCCACAGACGCAGAAAAAGCTGGATCGCCTCACAGGCACACTCGGCGTCGACGTGATCGATGAGCTGGGTGCTGTGCCGGGGCCTTTGCTGCATGCAGATGCACTGCGCGCGACCTACGGCAGGGCGTTGCGCTACAACCTGGACCCCGCGAAGTACATGCGCCCGCAGGAGACGTGGGGACGCATGCCTGTGAAGATCTTGTGCGGAGACTTCTACCAGTTGCCGCCAGTCCCCGCCACCGCTTCCCTGCTGGCGCCTCACGCGGGCCAATCCTACGAACACCAACAGGGTAGGAAGTTGCTCGCCGACATCGAGTACGTCATCGATTTCGTGCAGATGCAGCGCTTTACAGACCCGTTGCAACTCGAGGTTCTCCACGCCATGAGAACTCCAGGCGGAAAAAAGATCTCTGACGAGAGCTGGCAGGCGATCGTCAAAACAGAGGTCGTTAGCTCTAGCGGTGCTGCTCAGCCTGCTGCCAGCAGCAGCCAAGCCGCTCAGCCACCTCAGTGGGACCCTCGGTTGCGTGCAGCACGAGGCTGGTACGAGTCGGCCTATGAGTGGCGCATCGTCTCTTACGCCATGCATGCACAGGCCAAGCTTGATGCGCACGATGCTGGCCAGCTGCTCTTTTACGTCCCAGCAATCGACAGACCAGCTGCGCGCCTCGCGAAGCCTGATTACGACGAGATGCGCGCGGAGCCCAACATCGGCGCTACCGCAAAAATGCCGGGGCTGCTGCCGCTCTTCGTTGGCATGGAGGTCATCCTGACAGAATCCGTCTTGCCGCCGAAGTATGTCCGTGGCGCGCCAGGCAAAGTGGTAGGCATAGAGCTGCACGCTCTGGAGCCTCCGGTGGAGGGCCGCCCGTCCATTGTCTCGGACGGCGTGGTCGTGCTCTACTACATGCCAAAGGCCGTCTATGTCAAGATCGATGACAGCGATGAACTTTTCTTGAAGGCCGCGCCGGTGACAGCTGGCAGTGCTTCTCAGCCTGCCGGCCCCGACCTGCGCGGAGTGCTCGCGATCACCCCGCAGGCGCGCCCCTGGAAGTTCAAAGCGAAGACAGGTGGCCCGGCCATCGCGGTGTCCAGGACGCAGTTGACCGTGCTGCCCAAAAAGCAGGGGACTCTGCATGGCGTCCAGGGCAAGACGACGGACCCAGGCTTCATCGTGCACTGGACGTTTCCGCCAGGACTCAAGAAGGAGTCCATTTGGCTTGCCTACTACGTCAGCCTGTCGCGCCCCAGAAGCTTCAACCAACTCTTGAGCCACGGCTTGCCTGACCGGAACATCATCGAATCCGGCCCCCCGGAACAGATCGCCAAGGCCTTTGCCGAGCTCTTCACGGACAAGATTGCCGCGACGAAGATCGCTTGCGCGAAGGCCCGACAGCAACTGGGATGGCCTGCGCGAGCTTGAGGAGTCATGAGATGCAGGTTGCGTTGTGGCGGTGCTGTTCAGTCTGTCCGTCTGCATTCGCGTGGTGCTTCTCAGCCTGCATGCGCGTGGTGCTTCTCAGCCTGCGCTCGTGTGCAGCTGTGCGCGGTGAGCCTGCACGTGTCGCGGACACGTTCTGGATCAGGACGGGGGGGTCCGAGCCCGAGATGGAATGCTAGCGCTCTGCAGTACAAGTGCTTTTCAGCATGCGACATCCTGCGGTGCTTCTCAGCCTGCAGGGTTCGCAGCGTGCGGTTTCGATGCATTCCTTTTCAGTATGCGAGTTCCTGCGGTGAGCTCCGTAGCTCCGTTCCGTAAACATCTTCCAAGAGCCGCTCGCAAGCTTTTGCAGCTGGCGGTCTGCAGACGTAGTCTGTCTCAGCATGCGAGCTCCCGCACGCTTCGCCGGCTTTTGCTGCGCGGACAATTTTCTCACACACGTCAGCGCCGTTTGTAGGCGTCAGAAAAACATGTAGACATTCACGAAGGGCTCAGTCTGTATATCGTCACATCATTACATACGCAGTCGTCGAACACATCGGTGTACATTCAGCGCTTTGTCCTTCTAGCTGGGTCGCTTCGTGCTGAGGCTGAGGCTGATGCAGGCTGAGGGAATGCTGCCAGATATGCTCCTACACATGGCTGTTAGGTTGCTTTGCCGGGATAGTTGTCTGTGTGTTCGTTGCCCATGTTGCGCTCTTGGGGGCGGGTGTCGTTCGGACGCGTTGCGTGGGGAGTTTTGATGGTGAAGCAGTTCCCTGGGGGTCGTCTCTCGATGGGGCGAAATAGAGTCGTCGTCAAGATGCTTCTTTGGGGGGCCTCTTGGGGTCTGTTGAGAGGCCGTTCGGGGGCGCCTGGGAGACATGTTTGAAGCCTTCTGGGGCTTCTTTTGGGCCTCCTGGGAGTCTCCTGGGGCCTCTTGGCGACATCTTGGGGCCTCTTGGAGGCCTCTTGGGGCCTCTTTGGGACCTCCTGGGCGCCTTCTGGGACGGAGGGCTCCATTTTTGAGTTCTCGGTATCCCTCCTGAGTCCCTCTTGGGCCCGTCTTGGGGCCTCTTGGTCCGTCTTGGGCGGCACTTGGGCCGTCTTGAGGGCTCTCTTGGGTCGTTTCGGCGCCGTCTTGGGAGCTTCGTGGGCCGTCTTGGAGCGGTCTTGGGGGCCTCTTGGGCCGTCTTGGAGCGTCCGGAAGCCGAAAAAGCCAGAACACAAAAAACATAGAAAAAAACAATGAAAATCAACGATTTTGGCCTCTTGGGGCTCTCTTCGGAGGCCTCTTGGAAGGCTCTTGGGGCGTCTTGGAGGCCTCTTGGGCTGTCTTGGGGGCCTTTTGGGCCGTCTTGGGGTCATCTTCGGCGTCTTCGAGCGCTCTTTGGGCGTCTCGGGGGCCTCTTGGGCAGTCTTGGGGGCCTCTTGGGGCACTCTGAGCGCGCTCTGGGGAGCCTGAGAGGCCGCACCCAGAAGGAAAACCATCTCTGAGTAGACTTGGTCGGGCGGCGGTCGGGCGGCGGTCGGGCGGCGGTCGGGCGTTGGTCGGGGTACTTTTCGCCGGGGGACCCCCAGGGGCCGCCCCGCGCGCGCGAACTAGAAATACTGTTAATACTGTTAACCAGTTACCGGAGATCTTAGCACGCCCTGGCCCGTTGGGCCGGCGAATAACGGCGATGCCAGAAAAAGGCAGCAAGGAGTTATCGTTAAAGTGTCCGCTTGACCTTCCCGCCGTTTCCGCCTGCATGGCAATCTTCAAGGACCAAGGTGCATGGCGCGAAGCGCCACTGCAGTCTTGCATGCTTAGTGCCTGCACGTGAATGATCTGGGGAGTTGGAAGTGCCGCGGGCCATGTGGGCTCAAGTTTTTCGTGGCAGGAGTTCCTGCCCCGGCGGATGGGCTCCCCCCTTCTCCCATCCTTCCAGTCGCTGCAGGCCGCCGCGCTCAGGGGCTTGGAGCTCGCGGCGCTGCGCCAGACTGTTCTCTCGGCGGTCCCTGCGTGCCCACCCGTGTCGCTGGCCTGCCCGCCAGCGAACCTCTCTTGTCCTGTGGCGGCGTGCCCGCCTCCAATTTGCCCGCCACCCGTGGTCAACATCAACTGCCCGTCTCAGGAGGGCGGCTCGGTGATCGTGGACAAGAGGCGCGTCGTCGAGGCTGGCATATGCGGCTGGGTCCTGGGCGGCATTGCTGGAGCGGCCGCCGCTGGCTTGGTGGCTCGGCAAGGTCGGACTGCAGGTCGAGACGGTCGTCTGGAGGATAGGGCTAGACAGCAGGTTGCGCTTCTCCGTCTGAGGAATGGCGCGGCCAGGTGATTTCATTCTCATCCGATACGATCTTCCTGGGGCTCCTCTGTTCCACGAGCGCGTGGTCACTGGAGTGGGCCAGTCGGTGCCTGGTCTTTTCGCCGCACTCACGGCGGACGGCGACCATTTCGCCGAGGAGACCAGGAGTGACGACGTGGCGGAGTTCCGCTGGTCTGGAGCGCAGGGCGCGACGCCTCCGGGAGTGGGCGCCCGACAGGTCTATCGCTTCAGAGCCATGCCCTCGGACGCGGAGCTGGAGCAGCTAAAGAGGGACGGCGTGCGGCGCGCTGCTGGTGGGTGGCCCCCCCCCGCTGCGCCTGGGCCTCTTGTGCCTGCAGGCGGCGCGGCTGTGCCAGCTGCGGCGCCCGCCCCCGCGGCCTGGCAGGGTGGAGAGGCTGGAGTGGTCGGCCGCGCTGGAGCGGCGCCCCCGATCGCGGCTGCCGCGCCTGCCGCTTGGCTGGCCACCGAGGACTTCCGCGGGCTGCGGCGAGGAGAGCGTCTTCCTGACCCGCTGCCGCCGAACGCAGAGGTACACGGAGACGTCGCACTGGTCCCCGTTCAGGGTGGATGGGTCACGGCACGCCTGGTGCCCGCGGCCGAGATCGACGCTCTCGTCATCGACGATCTCAGGGTGCTGCTTGCGAAGTTCAGTCAGGAGGGAGCCGGGCGCCGCCCGTTCACGGAGGCCGTGGACCTGCAGGTTGCTGACGAGCCCGAGGGAGGCTTGATGTTGGACGGACCTCCCTCTTGCCTGTGGGTGATCCGGTCGTGGAGAGATGCTGGGCTGACGCCAGTCTGAGGGCGGGTCGCATCCCAGATGGCGACCGCTCGATCCACGAGCATGAGGTTTTCTGCCGGGTTCTGGAGCCCATGATCAGCGTCGACCAGCTCAACGCCCCCGCGCTCCAGAGCGCCGAGCTGGTGTGCCGTCGCCTTCGGGTGATCGAGGACGCGCGCGCTGTGTCTCCGTCGGCGCCAGACTACTCCGCCGCCGACGAGAACATGGGGTGGTCTGCTCACCGCGGTGGCTCGGCGGTCGCCCCCGCCCTCCGGGAGCGCGCGGCGGCCAACCTGCGAGACAAGGCCGCTGTGATCCAGGGGGGCCAGGAAGGCCAAGGAGGAGCAGAAACTACGCCGAGGGCCGAAGGGAGCGGCCAAGGGCGACCCCGCCCACAACGGGGGGTCGGGGCAATGACCGCCCCGCGCCGCGGGAGCTGGCCGTCCCGCCGTCCAAGGGCGGGGTTTCGATGGCCGCCCCGCCGTCCGCCGAGGGGCCCCCTCGCCGCTGGCGGCAGCCGCAGATTGCCAGCGTGATCTGTTTCCGCTGCCGCTGATTCAGCCGACGCCGCTGACGTCGCGGTCAGTCTCTTCTTCTACGCGCAGGAGGTTGGCTCACCGACGGCGCTCGGAGCAACTCGCCAATGAAGCGACTGCTGGCCCCAACGCTCTCCACCCCCCGTGCGAGCAGCGCGGGCAGACCACGGCGGCCCAGCGCCTGGCGGCTGCCACAGTTTTGCATCACGTTCGCAGTGCCCCGAGGACTACTGCCACCTGCTCACGCCGTGGAGCCGCCAAGGAGCCCCTGGCCACCAGCCTGTCAGACACCAGTGACGAGGCTCCGAGCCCAGTGGCGAAGTACATCTGATCCCGAGTAGACATCCCAGAAGTGGATGCGGCTGCGCCTGCGGTTGAGACGGTGCTCGACCCGATCGGGAGGGACTACGCGCTGGATTATGAGAGTAGGATGATGCTCGCGTCTGACGAGTGGCCCAGGGCCCTCGACTCCGAGCCGCCCGTCACCCCGTACATGGACGAGGTTTTGAAGAGTGATCCTGACGCCTGCCACCTGTTCATCTCTGACCTGGTGAAGGCCAACATGCTGGGCTTCACGTTTCACCCAAAGAATTTGGCGACGCCCTCCTTCGTGGCGAAGAAGAGCGGTGCCCAGCGGCTCGTCTGGGGCGCGCGGGTGCCGAACAGGAGGTTTCGCGCCCCGCCTTCTCTGTCGATGGGGGCGTCTGCCGCTTATGGGCGCCTCCACTTGCCTGGGGATCGCGACGACGCGGGAGTTGATACAACCAGGCTCTACAGCGCCCAGGTCGACGTCAGGAACTACTTTTACGCGCTCGGTCTCCCCACTGAGATTGGGCTCTACTTCTCGTTGCCGCCCGTCTCCCGGGCCGCGTTGTCTCAATGGGGGTGGAGGCAATTGACTTCCTGACGGCCCCTCAGGGGGCTGGGTCTGGCCTTTCTTGCGCGTCGTTCCCATGGGCAGGTCCTGGGCCTTCTGGCTGGGGCAGCGTGCCAACGCGCACGTCTGCTGCCTTGCTTCTGGCCTCGGGGTCTCCAGGGCGCTGGCCGATCACGGTCTCGCTTCGCCCCGGGTCCCAGAGGCAGATGGGGGCTGTGCGAAGATGACCCCAGGGCATCCTAGCGCTTTCCCGCCTGCCCTTCCCTGAGCGATGCTGTGTGAAGGTGACCCCTGAGGTTTCCTCAGCACGCGCCCTCCTGCCTCTGAAAGCAGGGCTGCCAGGCGACGCACCTCGGAGTTTTTTTTTTGGGGGGGGGGGGGGCCTTGTCGGGCGGGGCTTTTGTGCTTTTCGGCCTGCGAGTTGTTGGCCTTATTGCGCCTCTTTGTCGCCACGGCTGGACGCAGCTGGAGCTGCTGCCTGTCTCCGGAGCTCCGGAGCTGTCGGCCTCGTCGCGTTGGCTCGCTCTTGTCCTCCGGTTGTTTGTGCCCTGGGGGCCTCCCTGTCGCCGCGGACGGACGCTGCTGGGGAACTGGCGTGCTTGGCCCCCTGGCGGGTCTGGGTCGTCTTGCCTTGTCCCCTGCTTCTGTAGGCTGGGCTGTGGCGCCGCTCCTCTGAGGCGTCCAGTTGCTCTTGCTTCTGCTCTCCGTGCTCTCCTGGAGGGCTGGTCGGGCGTTTTTTTTGCGGCCTTCGGATTGTTGGCCCCCATGGGGGCACCTTTGTCGCCGCGGCCAGACGCAGCTGGGAAACTGGGGTGCCCGGTGCCCGTTTGAGGTCCTGGGGTGGGTTTTCGCGCCGCCCTCGATCCGCAAGCATCGGGCTCAAACTTTGTGGCGGGCCAGTGCCACAATGGAGCCAGCATCGAAGAAGCCCAAATGGGGGGACGATCATGCAATTGATTTCTCCCTGAAGCGCAGCCCCGCTCTGAGCAGGCGCCTCCGTGCCCAAGCCAGGGATGAGGCGCAGGCGGACCCGTCAGGTCTTCATCCGGACACTCGTTATGGACATCCCGTGCGCAGTCACTGGGCATCGCTAGCGCCGGAGATGCGCGCCGCCTGGGAGGAGGCAGGGTAGAGAGGGGCCGGAGGCCGCCGGGCCAGCCGCCCCTTCAGAGTGCCCTTGGCTCCCAGCCCACGGCCAGTAGCTCTCCCAGGGCAATGAGGCCGGCAGCACAAGAAGATCCATGGGTACAGCAGCTTCCTCAAGGTCTCCGGGGTCAGTATCTTCCACGAGACGCTCTCCCCAGGCCGGACGCGACCCCGCGGGTTTTGCGCCGCCGCAGAGGCTTCAGCTCGGCCCTCAGCCAGGCGGCGCAGGCGGAGCAGCGGAGGCAGCCTTGCCCCAGCAGCACCGCAAACAAGAGCAGATGCCTACTGCCACAGGGACTGCTGCGGCCCACCCTGGCCTCACGATGACACCCTGTTTCTTCCCCCAGCAGCCCCTGGGAAGGGCGCGCTGGGGCGGGGGAGGGGCAAGTGGGCTGGGGCAGCGAGCCCACGGAGCAATCGGAGGCGCACGGACGGCGCTCTCCTGGAACATGCTCGCCGAGGTGAAAGCTAGCCTCGCTGCCGAACAGCACCAGCAGCGCGCCTGCGAGCAGCCCCAGCAGCAGCAGCAGCAGCAGCAGCTCGCTTACCAGCAGCGCGCCTACGGGCAGTACCAGCAACACCAGCAACATCAGCAGCGCGCCAGCGAGCAGCCCCAGCTACACCTGCAGCGTCGCTGAGCAGCACGCCTGCGGGAAGCACCGGCAGCACCAACAGCGCGCCGCCGAGGGGCCAGCCGGCCACGCCGCCGAGCAGAACCGCCAGCACCAGCAGTGCGCCTACGAGCGGTACGCCTACGAGCAGCAGCACCAGCAGCAGCAGCAGCAGCAGAAGCTCGCCTACCAGCAGTGCGCCTACGGGCAGTACCAGCAACACCAGCAGCACCAACAGCACGCCAGCGAGCAGCCCCAGCTACACCAGTAGAGTGCCGCTGAGCAGCACGCCCGCGGGCAGCACTGGCAGCGCCAACGGCGTGTCTACGAGGGGCCAGCCGGCCACGCCGCCGAGCAACACCGCCAGCACCAGCAGTGCGCCTACGAACGGCACCAGCAGCAGCAGCAGCAGCAGCAGCAGCAGCAGCAGCAGCAGCAGCAGCGTGCCTATCAGCAGCAGCACCAGCAGCATGCCTACGAACGCAGCCGTGCGGCAGCCCCGAGCGGGCTGAAGCTGCAGGCGTGGACAGGGCCCTGGCCCCTCGAGCCTTGGGCGCAGGTGCAGGGAGCACCAGGGCCGGACCAACAGGGGCTCGTCCCAGCATCAGCCCCAGGGCAGGCGCCCAGCCCATGATGGGGCCAACCAGAGAGCCAGCCAAACCTGCCCTGCTGGGCCGCAGAGGGGCAGCGAGCGCTCCGGCAGCCCGCAGCGAGAGGGAACAGCCCGCAGCGAGAGGAGACCAGCAGTGGGCCCCCGCCCAGGGCCAGCAGGGAGCTGCGACGGCGGCCGCGCCAGCCCCCGACCTCTTCCCGCGCTTCCGGGCCCTCCGGGGGGGGGGCGGTGGCCGCTCAGGTGGGAGGGGCCCCCCAGCGCTACCACAGATGGCTATCCCCGCTGCCGGGGGGCTGCCTGCCGTCTGACGAGATCGTAATGCATTGGGCCCAGACGCATCCGGCGCATGCGCCCCTGCTGTCAGGAAGGGGAGCGAGTGCAACCTACTTCCCGCCGAGAGCGAAGGGGCCAGACGGAATGCGTCTGAGGCCGGGGCCCAAGGGGGGCGCCATCAATATCTACTTCAAGAAGGACGGCAAGATAGTGCTGAACGGCACGCCGGCGGCTCAGGAGAGACTCCTCTCTGCCATCGAAGCGCGGATGCTGCCGCGGGGGACGGGGGCCCCGCCCACGGAGGACCGCTGGACTGTGCCGCTGTATCCCGGGCAGTGAGTACAGCAAGGGGGGGCGCAAGCTGCCGCGTGAGTAGCGCGTGGCGCAGGCCCCCGAGAAAGGACCGATTCATTTCCGGACTCACTTGCAGTCATACCCACCCATTCTCGTACCGACTCATGCCCGGGCTCACACATACGTGGTCATTTATATTCAGATTCGCTCACATCCAGACGTGTTCGTCCTCAGTCGTTCAGTCCCAATGTAAGTTCTTGTCGGGCTCGCGCATACTCGGACGCTGAGGAAGGACAGCGTCAGAAGCTATATCTGGCGAGCTGAGCTCCGCGTCGAGTAATGACTAGTAATAGTCGTCCCCCTCTGCCTACTTCTCTCCTCTTACTCATCCTCTCTCCTCCTCCGCCTCCTCCTCGTCTTTCGCCTACTTCTCTCTCTTCTCATCCGATGCCTCCTCCGCCTGGTCGTCGTCCTCCCTCCGCCTCCCACCTCCTCAGGGGTGGGCGAGGGGGTAGACGGCAGTCTTGGGCGTGCTCTCACGTGCCCCAGGCGGGGTAGCTTGCACGCGAGAGGGGTAGGAGGCTGACCAGGGGGACGGGGAGCGGAGGAGGAACATGAGGAGGAGGAGGAGGATATCAGATCGCAGCAAGTATAACACTGAGTGTCCGCCAAGCGCAAAAAGAAGTAGGAGAAGGGGGAGGAGGAGGTGGCGGAGGAGGAGGAGGTGGATGAGGAGCATGGAGACTGAGGATGGTACTTGGTTAAGGGGGACGAGGAGGAAGAAGAAGAGGAGGGAGAGAGATAGCCAGCGAGCGAGATAGAGAAATTGAGAGAGGGCGGGCCAGAGAGAGAGAGAGAGAGAGAGACACACACACACACAGAGTCAGAGACAGAGACAGAGACAGAGAGAGAGAGAGAGGGAGCGTCAGAGAGGGAGGGAGGGAGGAAGGGAGGGTAATTGCGGAGGAGGCCCTTTCGTTTTCTCGTAGCATGTTGAGGGACTCGCCACCAAACGGCGCATCCTCTTCGAGGCTATGTAGCCATGAGAGGGACGCTGTAGACAGAAGTGCGCTTCCTCCGCCTCTTTCCCGCCGCCTGGTACGCCCTCGATGTCCCCCCCCTTCCGCCTCCGTCCTTGCCCTCCTGCTACGCTTCCCTCATCCTTGCCCTTCGCCCGGCTCCTCTTTTCACTTATCCCCTCCCTTCCTTTTTTCTCCCCCCAACCCCCGCTCTTCTCAGGTCATCCATCTCTTTTCCCTTCTCCTGCTTCTCCTCATCATCCTGCCCCTGTTGAACCGCGAACCTTTTGCGGATTGCGGAGCTCCAGCCAGGAGCAGTGCGCGGTGCAGCTTTGCTGGTACGAGCGCGGGCCAATGGGAGACCCTTTCGTGCACGATGTCGGCGAGTTCAAGCATCGACCGTCCAAGGCCTGTCTTCACTCTGCAACAGTTGTTGTTACACTCTGCCCCCTCCCAGCCCGCACGCAAATACAAGCACAAACACAAACACAACACACACACACAATCCGTAGCCATTTTGGCTCAAGCACGGGGCCCGCTTGCGCACCAGGGCCGCGCTATCTCGCCCCCTCCTCGCGGCTGGCGAGCGCGATGGCTGCCCGCCGGGCGTGCGCCCTGCTCGCGGGGCTGCTGGCCTCGGCCCAGGGCTTTGCGCCGAACCCCGCGTCGTGCGCGACCAACGCCGCCACCGCCTTCAACGACGCTGTGGGCATCGCGGGCAACATCGTGCGCGCGGTCGAGCTCTGCATCCCAGTCTCGTCCGTGACGAACGACGACGTCAGCGGCATGCAGCGGGACTGCGCGGATTCAGATGATGGGCCTGCTCGCCAACATTGGGTCCGTTGGAGACAAGGTGTCCGCTGCAACCTTCAACTGCGGCAATGTGGACAGCGGGTGTGCCCAGCAGATCCTGGCGGGCATCAACGATTTGAGCGAGACGGGCCAGGACATCACCTCGAGCGTCAGCAACTGCCCGTCCAAGATCAAAGGCGCCGGCCTCTTCTTCGCCGCGGACATCGTATCCATCCTCAACAAGGCCGTCAATGGGGCCAGGGACATCGACTCCGCCGTCGAGCGCTGCATGCCGCCGGAGGACTTCATCGCGCCGCCGCCGGCCGTGAACGACACCAACGAGACCGATATCAGCGCCCCGAGGCCGAATTCCGTGGACGAGCTCCCCACCATTCCAGCCGCCAGCGCCTCGAGTCCAGACGCCAGCGCCCCGTTGCCCAACTCCGTGGGCGACCTCCCGGAGCGCCGGCGCCTGGCCTCGAGCTCTCCAGAGGGCTCGCGCGGCGTGGCTGTCCAGGACCTGGCGGAGCAGGGTGCCTTGGGCGCAGAGCCGCCCAGAGGCGCTGCTCCCGCCTGAAGCGCCTGGCGCTGCCGACCGTTCTTGCAGCCGGGCCCGCGGGCGCGAGCCCCCCGCCTGTGTCGTGGGGAGGCGCGGCCGGGGCCGCGGCGCGCGCGTCGAGGCACGCCCGGCACTCAGCACGGTGGTGGTCTGAGCGCGTCCCGGGCCAGGCGCGTTCTTTTTCTTTGTTGTTGGTACGGGCATGCTGCGGATGGGGGGAGGGGGGAGGAGCAGCGGGACTGAGGAGGGTTCTCGAATTCTAGGTTGGCCTCGCTCACGCCCACGAAAAAGCAGAGGTCTAGGAAAGGCAGGGGCATGTAGATAGTTCCAGCAGTAGGCCCAGGGATGATCGCATTACGTAGGTCTTCATAGCACGGGGTCTAGGCCCAAGCCCACCAAATCACTGCGCACAGCCGACCAGGCCCGACGCAGCAAACAGAAGCAAGCTGCAATTTTCTTTGACAAAACCACAAACACAACACACAACCACACACGCAAGCACAAACACAAACACAAGCACAAACACAAACACAAAATATCCACACACACACACACAAACACACACACGACCACAACCACAAACACAAGCACAAACACAAACACAACGACTACACACAAACACACACGCAACACACAACCTCAAACGCAAGCGCAAAAACACAAACACAACAACTACACACAAACACAAACGCAAACACAACCACAACCACGAACGCACGCACACACAAAAACACAAACACGCAACGCACGCACGGACGGACGCACGGACGTACGGACGCACAGATGCACACGCACGCGCACGCGCATGCGCACGCACCCGGCACGCACCCGTACCCACACCCATATCCGCACACGCACACGCACACGCACACGCACACGCATACGCACATGCACATGCACGCGCACTCGCACTCGCACACGCCAACGCAAACGCACACGCAAACGCACACGCAAACGCACAAGCTCATGCACACGCACACGCACGCACACGCACACGCACACGCGCACGCGCACGCGCACGCGCACGCGCACGCCGCGCACGCGCGCACGCACGCACGCACGCACGCGCACACACACACACATACACACGCACACACACACACACTCACACACACACACACACACACACACACACACACACACACGCACACGCACACGCACACGCACACGCACACGCACACGCATACGCATACATACACACACTGCACACACACACACCTCCACCTCACCCCCTCTACCTCCCTCTCGGGAGGAGGATAGGCGTTGATGGAGGGCGAGGACAAGGAGGAGGAAGAGGAGGAGGAGGAGGAGTTGGGAGGGGGGATGAAGAGGACGAGATGCAGGGGAGGATAATGAGAAGCACATGGGGAGTGTGAGAGGAGAAGAAGGAGGATAATGAGGAGGAAGGTGAAGGCGGAGAGGGAGGGAGGAGGGTGTTGTGCAGGCGTTGGATGAGAACGAGGGGGAGGCGAGGCGAGGAGAAGATGGAAGAGGGAGGCGGGTCATACGGAAGCAGTCGAAAGGATGAGGGAGCACGGAGGAGCGTGATGGGGCCAATATTGGATTGCTGGAATGATCTGGAGTCCCCTCGAAGGGCTGCGACTGCCTGGTGAGCCTCTCCTTCGGCGCGGCCATGGAGCTCGCCTTCCGCCGCTCGGGCTCGGAGGAGACCCGCCAATGCAGCTGCGCCGTGCACTCAGAAGCCCCTCCCCTCCACTCGTCTCTGAGGGGGGGGGGTTTGTCTGTAACCACTGGCTGGGGGTTCAATCTCAGGGGATCTCGGCATGCGGTGGATATGGATATGTTCGGAGCCCCTGGGGCCAACATGCCATATTCACCACCCGCTGGGATCCCAGGACATCGCTTCCCCATGCGGTTGATCTGGATAGATGCCCGCCTCCCCCCTTCGTTGTGGTCCAGCGGCCTTCAGGCGTTTTTTTTCCGCAGAGGCGCCCAGTTTGTGCCACCCCGTGCGCGTGCACGTGGTCGCGCGCGCAGTCGGGTGTGACAATTCGTCAACCCCCCGGGAACTCCCCATTGTTTTTTTCTTGTTCTGCAGTTGTTCGGGTGTTTTTTTCGGTTTCTCGGAAGATCTCGTGGGGGACATACACAACAAAAAACAAATCGGGTGTTTTTGGTTGGTGTTTCGGTTGTTTTTTTTTTTCCAGGGGGGAACTCTCGAACAACCTCGGTGTCGTTTCAGTTTTTGTTGGGTGCTCTGGGACCCCATACTTAAACACATAACTATTACGAACACTCCCCAGGAAACCTCCGACGAACCCCAACTCTGGTTGGTTTTGTCTGGCTGTTTTCGGGGAGTTGTCCGAAGGCTCTTCTGGGTTAGACTGGGCGTTTTATTGGGGGGGCAGAACCAGCGAACAAAAACCCAACTCAGGAGTTGTTTGTTTAATACTTTGGGGCCTACACCCTACATCAAAAACAAGACTATTCCAGGACCCCCCTCGGGAAACCATTGAAACAAGTCCCCAACTCGGTGGGTGTCTTATGTTTTTTCGACGGTTCTTGGGCCCCACATAAAAACAACAACATTATTTCAGAACACACCACGGGCAACCCCCGAGAATCTCCCCAACTCGGTGTTTTTTTTCTGGTTTGTTTCGGGGGTTCTGGGGCCCCACAATGTAAAACAGGATTTCAGAACACCTCCCGGGAAACCGCCGAAAAACCTTCCAATTCGGGTTTTTGCTATGGTTTTTCGCTGGTTTTTCTGACGTTTTTCTTGGGGGGGAATCCCCCAGTTCGGTGTTTTTGTTTTTTGTTGTTGTCTTGATCTTCTGGGGCGCCACACTTAAAAACAGAACTGTTACAGAACACTTTCCAGGAAACCTCCGAACAACCCCGAACCATTTTTTGTTCTGCGGTTTTCTGCGGGGAGTCCGAAGGTTCTTCTGGGATTTTTCTGGCGTTTTACTGGGGGACAAAACCAGCGAACAGAGACCCAACTCAGGAGTTGTTCGGTGTTTTTTCTGTGATGTGGGGGCCCCACATGTAAAAAAAACAAGACTATTCCAGGAACCCCCTCGGGAAACCACCGAACATCTCGGGTTTTTTCTGGTGTTTTGTTTCTGAGGTTCTGGGGCTCCACATTTACACAACTATTTCAGAACACCCCACGGGAAACCCGGGAAACACTCCCCAACTCGGTGGTTTTACTGGCTTGTTTTGGGGGTTCTGGGGCCCCACAATTTGAAACAGCACGATTTCAGAACTCCTCCCGGGAAACCGCCGAAAAACCTCCAACCTCATCTTTTTCCAAAGGTTTGTCGCGTGTTTTCCTTTGGTTGTTTGGGGGGGAATTCACCAACTCGGTTTTGTTCGATGGTGTTTCGGATGTTCCGGGGGCCCGCAATTAAATACAATTATATTTCAGAAAATTTCCCGGGAAACCTCAGAACATCTTGCCAAATCAGTGGTTTCCTTATTTTTGTTGTCGGGGGTTCTGGTGCCCTACAAGTAAACACGATGCGATTTCAGAAAACCAACAGGGAACCCTCAGAATAAAAAACACCCCAATTATGTTGTTGTTGTTGTTGTTGTTGTTGTTGTTGTTGTTGCTGCTGTTGTTGTTGTTGTTGTTGTTTAACTCTCATATATTTGAAGAACAATTATTGTTGATCCCCCCCGTCGGGTGCACATTGTTTTTTCTCGATTGAAGTGCCCTTCCCGGGGCTCGCACCATGTTTTTTTTTTATCAGAGAAAGTCTTGAGGGTCAAACTGTGTCGTTGGCCCCCGGGTTACAACAACAACGGTTCCCGCCTGAGATTTCCTCACAATTTAGTCAGGACCCCTGCTCCCGCCCGAGTCTTCCTTGCATTTTATTCCCTACCTAGGCTCTGCCTAGAAGGGTTCCTATTATTAGGCTTAAAGGGCTGGGCAGTGGGGCTCGCCCCGGGCGGTTCCCCCAGCATCCGCTCCGCGGTTCCCCCAGTGACGTTTTCTTAGCTTCGCGTTGCTTATCGCATCTTAGCTTAGTTGATTGCATCTTACCTTAGTTTAGCTTCATCTTACCTCAGTTGTGTCTTAGCTTAGTTTACCGTCATCTTAGCTTCGCTGAGTTTTAGCATAGCAGAGCACAGCATAGCATAGCATAGCGTAGCCTAGCATAGCGCAGCACCGCATATCATAGCATAGCCCAGCATAGCATAGCATAGCGCAGCATAGCATAGCATAGCATAGCGTAGCGCAGCACAGCACAGCATAGCACAGCGCAGCATAGCATAGCATCACATAGCATAGCAGATCATAGCATAGCACAGCGCAGCTTAGCATAGCATAGCATAGCATAGCTTACCATAGCACAGCGCAGCATGGCATAGCTTAGCATAGCTTAGCATAGCATAGCGCAGCATAGCGCAGCACAGCATAGCATAGCATAGCATAGCATAGCATAGCGCAGCATAGCATGGCATGATATAGCATAGCATAGCATTGCAACTAATGCTGCTTTCCTAGGGGCTCCAACTTCTAGGTAGGGTCGCACTGGGGTAATTTAGGGACCGCGCTCTCGCTTGGGACTTCCTTGTATTTTGTTTCAGGAATCTCTCTCCCATCGCTCTGGAGTCGCGCTCTCGCTGGAGACTTGCTTGCCATTTACTGAAGAATAGCGTCCTTGCGATCGACATTCTTGCAATTTATTCAAGCGCCGCGCTCCCGACACCCAGGCACCCAGGAGTCGTCTTCCTCACGTTTAGGACTCTGTCACAGATTACCTAACAATCAGGAACTCGCTGCCCTTCGTGACCCCGTTGCAGCCCTTCGTGGCCCCCCTCGCTTTGTTTCGTGGCCCCGTTGTAGCCCTTCGTGGCCCCCTCGCTGCCCTTCGCGGCGCCGTTGCAGCCCCTCGTGGCCTCCTCGCTGCCCTTCGTGGCCCCTCGCTTTGTTTCGTGGCCCCATTGTAGCCCTTCGTGGCCCCCTCGATGCCCTTCGTTGCCACGTCGCAGCCCTTCGTGGCCCCCTCGCTGCTTTCCGTGGCCTCAAATATGTATGCCCTTCGTGGCCCCCGCTCGTTCGCGCCCGTGGTGGCCCCATATGCATGCCCTTCGTGGCCCCGCTGTCGCCCTTCGTGGCCCCCTCGCTGCCCTTCGTGGCCCCGTTGCTGCCCTCAGTGGCCCAGTCCTTGTCCTTCGCGGCCGAGTATACGTATGCTCTTCGTGGCCCCCGTTCGTTCGCGCCCGTTGTGGTCCCATGTGCATGGCCTTCGTGGCCCCGCTGTCGCCGTTTGTGGCCCCCTTCACTGTCCTACGTGGCCCAGTTGCTACCTTCAGTGGCCCCGTCGTTGCCTTCTGTGGCCTCGCATGATCTGCCCTTCGTGGCCCCCGATCGTTCGCGCCCGTCGTGGCCCTATGCGCATGCCTTTCGTGGCCCCGCTGTCGCTCTTCGTGGCCCCCTCGCTGCCCTTCGTGGCCCCGTTGCTGCCCTCAGTGGCCCCGTCCTTGCCCTCCGCGGCCCAGTATACTTATGCCCTTCGTGGCCCCCGCTCGTTCGCGCTCTTCGTGGCCCCATGCGCATTCCCTTCGTGTCCCCGTTGTCGCCCTTCGTGGCCTTCTTCGTGTCCTTGTGGCCCTGCTGTCGTTTTCTCTCGCTCTCGCTTTCGCTCGTCGTCGTCGTCGCCGTCGTCGTCGTCGTCGCCGCCGTCGTCGTCGACGTCGTCGTCGTCGTCGTGGTCGGTCCCCTGTCCGTCCCTCTTGGGGTCGAGTCGACGGTCCGCGGCCGCCCCGCCGCTTGCTGAGGCCCGGCCTGCAGGGAAGAAAGGTATACCCCCCAAAAGGGGTTCGATCGAAGACGAAAAGGGCGGGTATCGAGCGTTTGGGAAATACGCGTTATTGGACACTCGAGCAGATAAGGGCGAACAATATTAACAAGAGTGTTGTTGTTGTTGTTGTTGTTGTTGTTGTTGTTGTTGTTGTTGTTGTTGTTGTTGTTGAACATTATTTATTCTAAAGAATAATTATTGTTGGGCCCCCTGGTGCGCGCCCCCCCTGCGCCGCCTAGGCCGCAGCTACATTTTCATCATTTTCGTGAGGAAGCCTCAGAAAAGAGGGTGTGTACAGGATCCGGTTGTTTTGTTGTAATCCGCTTTCCCTTGCAAAAAACAATAGAAAATGACATTTCTTGTTCTAATATAATCAAATTTCAAGAATCCCTTGCAAAAAATAAGGTAAAGTGGACATTCGCGCGCGCAAGACGAAATCCTTCCAAAACCTTAGTGTTCGCAGCGATTTTAACATAAAAACATCAAAAAACCAATGGTTTTTCAACAAAAAAATGTCAAAATCTCATCCCGCGCGCTCTTGCGGATTCGTAGGAAACCCAACACTTTTTAAACATTTCTGTCAAACGGGCTTTTGCGAGCAACTTTTTCGAACTTCTGCGACAACGGTTGCGCACCTGCCAGGGCCATCATCCCTGTCAAATAATACCATGCGGGACACATTCGTTTTTTCTTCGCGCGCGCACGCCGTCGTCGTCGGCCGCGGGGCCCTGAATAGTAGCCACGGTCGTCCGCATGCCACGAAGTGAAGTGTCCGAACGTCATAGGGCGGGAAGCTGGGTGTGGGTGGTGGCGAAGAGTCGTTTGGAAATTTGGTAGAGCTTGAACCGGCCCCCCCACAAAGTGGGGGTATTGCCCGCCTCCTATGAAAACC